ACATAACCTTATTATGTTAATATAAGTTAGTTAATATAATTTTCAGTGATCATTACTAATATAATGATAGAAAAAAACAGCCTCTGTAATATCAGTGCAGTCTTCTTGATTTCTAGTGAGGCTAAACAGGTTCTCCTATGGTTGTTAACAAAATAATTGCTTTTCCTCTTTAAAAAATTACATCTCTCTGCAATTTTTTTGTACTTTGTGCATGGGTTTTTATTTTTTTAACTTTTATTTTCGATACAGGAGATAAATGTGCAGGTTGTTATGTGGGAATTTTGCGTGATGCTGAGGTTCAGGGTATGGACCCTTGTCACTCAGGCTGTGAACACAGTACCTGATAGTTTTTCAACCCACAACAGCCTCCCCACCCTTGTAGTATTCTTCACTGCTTTTTGTTCCCATATGTATGTCCATTTGTGCTCAATGTTTAGTTCCCCTCATAAATGAGAATATTGGAATTTGTTTTTCTGTTTTGCATTGAATTTGCTTAGATTATGGCCTTCATCTCCATCCATGCTGCTGCAAAGAGCAAGATTTTATTATCTTTTATGACCATGTAGTATTCCATAGTGTATAGGCACCACATTTTCTTTGTCCAATATACCATTGATAGGCACTTGGGGATTCCATGTCTTTGCAATTGTGAATAGTGCTGCAATGATCACGTGAACGCGTGTATCTTTTTGACAGAATGATTTATGTTCCTTTAGCTATATAACCAGTAATAGGATTTTGGGGCTGAATGGCAGCTCTTTTTTAACTTCTTTATTATTATTATTATACTTTAAGTTTTGGGGTACATGTGCAGAACGTGCAGGTTTGTTACATAGGTATATACGTGTCATGGTGGTTTGCTACATCCATCACCCCATCATCGACATTAGATATTTCTCCTAACACTATCCCTCCCCAGCACCCCATCCCTGACAGGCCCCAGTGTGTGATGTTCCCCTCCCTGTGTCCTATGTGTTTTCATTGTTCAACTCCCAATTATGAGTAAGAATGTGTGGTGTTTGGTTCTCTGTTCTTGTGTCAGTTTGCTGAAAATGATGGTTTCCAGCTTTACCCATGCCCCTGCAAAAAACATGAACTCATCCTTTTTGTGACTGCATAGTATTCCATGGTGTATATTTGCCACATTTTCTTTATCCAGTCTATCACTGGCAGGCATTTGGGTCTGGTTTCAAGTCTCTGCTATTGTAAACAGTGCCACAGTAAACATATGTGTGCATGTGTCTTTATAAGAGAATGATTTATAATCCCTTGGGTATATACCCAGTAATGGGATTGTTGAGTCAAATGGTATTTCTATTTCTAGATCTTTGTCTTTGATAAACCATCAGACCGCTTTCCACAGTGGCTGTGTGAATTTATATTCCCACCAACAGACTATGACACTTCCTTTTTTCTTCAGCCTTGCCAGAATCTGTTGTTTTCATCATTTTGATAATAGCCATTTTGAATTATGTGAAATCTCTCTTTGTGGTTTTGATTTGCATTTCTCTGATGATTAGTGATGCTGAGCATTTTTTCATGTTTGTTGGCTGCCTGTATGACTTCTTTTAAGAAATGCATGTTCATGTCCTTTGTCTATTTTTTAAGGAGTTATTTGTTTTTTCTTTATCAGGTGTTTAGAGTTTTGCTTATACTTTATAATATTTTCTACTATATACCATTATGACTATTATTTTTCTTTTTATATTGGTGAATATGCATTAATTTTACTAAATAAATTTGTAATTTCTTATTACTGTCATGTCTAGGGCTTTGTATATTTCCAGAATTACTAAATATTCACTTGTATAATTCCATGTAATTTTTCAATAATTTAGATTGCTTAAATTACTTTTTAAAATATTAGAGGTTTGCTTTAAAGGAAGTTATGTGATGAATAACTTAATTGTTTTATCTTTTTTTCAAAGGTTTAATTGCCCCAAGTAATTTTATTGTGAAAGGGATATTATATAAAATATATTTAAAAGAAATATTTAAGATCAATTGAAATGACTGGATATTGCTTTTCAATAAGTTGCATAGTTTAATGTAGTAAAAAACAAAGTGTAGACATTTATTTACACAGAGATTGATGTCTTCAGGTTAGTGACAGTATCTTTTTCATTCCAATTATCTAGCAAAATATTCAATATATACCAGTCACTTCATTAAAGTCTGTTGAATAAATTTTTCAAATGAAATTCTATATTAATTTATTCTGCCTCAATATCATTACATATTACTTGAAAATTCTCCCATGATTATTGACGCATGTATGATTTTTAATGTTTTATTGTATATTGTTTACATATAAAACTTTTAATTAGTATTTGATTTGAATGGATTTGGGAAATATGTTGTTTCCAGAAGCTTTTATTTTAAATAGTGGAACTCTCTATCTTTCTTTCTCTCTCTCTCTACATATATATACAAATGATCTAACTATATGCTGTACACAAGAGGCTAACATTAGATCTAAAGATATGGATCATTTAAAAGAGAAATGATGAGAAAATATACTCCACATAATTAGTAGCCAAAAACAGCTAAGCGTATAAACTAATATCAGAAAAACATAGACTTCCAGTCATTATTAAAAAAGGAAGAGAGCCGGGCGCGGTGGCTCAAGTATGTAATCCCAGCACTTTGGGAGGCAGAGACGGGTGGATCACGAGGTCAAGATATCGAGACCATCCTGGTCAATATGGTGAAACCCCGTCTCTACTAAAAATACAAAACATTAACTGGACATGGTGACGCGTGCCTGTAATACCAGCTACTCAGGAGGGTGAGGCAGGAGAATTGCCTGAACCCAGGAGGCGGAGGTTGCGGTGAGCCGAGATCGCGCCATTGCAC